TAATTATAATAAAGTTACAATAAATTAAGTTAATATATAATTATATATACAGTACCTAATTTATATATAATTAATATATAATTATATGTACAGTACCTAATTTATATATAATTTATATATAATACTGTACAGACGATAGTAATCTTTCCGTAGCGTGGCGCTACGGACGGCGGGAAAGTAGTTCGGCTGCCTGATGATGTTTCACGTAATTATAGGAGTTTTTTACCGGTTTTTACGGATACCGTCGTAATTTTTTCGCAGTTTTATAGGAATCGTAATTATAGGGACCGTAATTATAGGTGGGGTCGACTGTATTAACATATGCAATTTTCATCATAGTTAATTACACATAAAGAAATAATTTAAATTAAGTTCTATAAATTAAATTTTATATATACATGGCTAACATTCATTATTTTCAAATTGTTTTAATATTCTGTTTACAAAATTAGACTTATTATGACTAAGAGACTTTCAACAATTACTAATTAATTTAGTATTTAATTAACATTTAGTATATTTCAATTTCACAGATTGTTTTAATTAACATGATAATGAGATAACAAAAATATTAGCTATTTGTTTCTGATAAATGTTTAAGCTAGTTCTAATAATCTTATTTTTTGTTAATTAATCTTAAAATGCTTTTGTGATTTAATTATTCAGCTTCAATAATAAATTTTTAAAATTTTAGGTATTTTGAATTTGAGATTTTGACTCCAGGCCATATGAGAGTTGGATGGGCAGACATCTCTTTTGCACCATCATGTGAACTTGGTGGTGATGAACATTCTTGGGCATATAATGGATTTTCTGTAAGTAAAATATTTTCTATTTTAAAGAATATTTTTATTTCATATCTATTATAGTCTGTCCATGGAAAGAATCAACTTAGGTATTAACCAATGAGCATCAGTTATTGATCACTTAGTAGTGGCAAGTTACTTCTGGTTTCTTCCTCATTTGTTAAACATGTCACTGCCATTATGAACAGTGCTATAGAAGCTTTATGTTTTGGTATTGGGATACAAGGAAGTTCACTACAGCAGTAGTTAAACATATGATTCTTTACAGTTAATGAATGCTATAAAAAATTAACACAACGAAAAAGTCATTCTGCCATTTAGTGAGAAAAAATAAAATAAAATTCACATACTGCCTCACATATTAAGTGAAAAATGCTGACATCATTAGGGAATGTTCTGATTGGTTTAATTGAAGCAACATCACATGTGACATTGCTCTCAAGTTGATTCTTTCTATAGACAGACTTTAGTTCAGTGATAAAATTTATTTACAATGTTTTCTTGTAATGTATTTGCATTACAATAATTGACATTGCAAAGAAATTTTTAAAATTCCTAATGTAATTAATTGAATCCATAAAAGTAACTTAAAAAGTAATAATTTGAGATGAAAATTAATTATTATGACAACCAGATGGTCAAGAATTATTGCCTTGACCATCTAGTTGTCATATCAATCACAATTCTTTGACAAAAATATAGTTGTAATTACAAAGCTTATTTTAAGAATATAGTTGTAATTACAAAGCTTATTTTAAGTTTATGTAGGAATTTAGACACAAACAATAAGAGTATATTTATGCAAATAACTACAGAACAATTATTGAATGAAAGTAATATTAATAATTTTATTTATTCTTCATTGCATGTTTTATTATTGTATTATTATAAGCATGTTTCCATAAATAATTACTTGATATTTTAGCATATGTTTGTCAATATATAGGAGTTTTTTACCCTATATAATAGGGCATAAAGAAAGTTTTGAAAAAACTTATAAATTTAAAGTTTGGTGTAAATGTAATACAGTAAGACCCCGCTTAACATGGGGGATGCATTACTAAACAAAGCAGCATTAAATGAGGGTCATTTTAACATAGAGTAAATAGGGATAGGGGAACATTCAACCAAAAATAAACAAATTTTATTTTAATTTTAAGTTATTTTTATATTAATTTGTATAATAATATATGTTAAATAACACATAAACATATGAACACAAAAATGTAAAGTTCATTTTTTGTGATGAAGGTCCTGACTTTATTGCAAAAAAACAGGAATTTCAGAAAAGTTGTGAAGTTTCATTTGTCACTTTTTTCTTTCCTTAAGCAAATGTTGGTAGCAGAAGATCGCATCCAAAATGCCTCATTTTGCTTTTGCTCTCCTTTAAAAATCTGGATCATTTGCTATAATTTGATCAATGATTTCGGTTATCGTTGCAGTAAAGTTTAGATTTTCAACTGTTTCATAATTGGCGACCATTTGGTGTGCCAATAACACAATAAGTTTCAATAGCTTGTGTTTCCTGTACTTGTTCTTCAAGAAGACACCTTACAATGACCGACAAATAGTTGTCTAGCTGTGACACTTTCTTCGGCTAGCGAGATGAATCCAGACATTGATTTAAACTTTGATGTAAACTTCTATACAAACTTCCCTACAAACTTGAATTTGTCGCTTTCACATTGATCTTATGTAGTCGATCGACAGTTGTCGGTCGACCAATCAGCAGCTATGCTAGTCATAGCTCTATCCCAGGTCTGCTGCAAGGCATGATCTGTCACCAACTGTCTCTCCTTTGAGATGCATGCACTACAGATTCAAAATCTAACAGATGCGTTCCTCGGCAGAGTTCGTTAATGGTTCAAATCAACCAATCATGTCTCTTGCATGATTTCACCATGACAGTTACCAAAACTTTTACTAAAGAAATCCGTAGAGAAATTTTTTGGGTTCTTCATTTTCAGAATCTCTATTTTCCAGTTCTACATGAATTCCTTGTTCTGCCAGTTCTTGAAGGTCGTCGTTCGTAAGACTCTCACCAGAAACCTGCAGTAACTCCTCAATATCCTACGTGTCTACATCTCCTAGTCCTGCTGTATCATAGCGATAGGCTCTTCTCATTAAGAATTCTTGTATACCTTCAGCCATAACTTCTTCCACACTTTGTTCATGCATTTATCAGTTAATTCTTGCCAAGCAAAGCCGATATTGCCCATGGCATCCATGATGATATATTTTTTCCAAAATTGCACCAAACAAACATAGATTTAAAGAAAGTACACTTTTTTGCCACCTTTTGCTGATTGGTTTGTGTTCCTAAATAATCGTATTATATACAAATCAATGAAATGCCGCAATAATTTAAATCAGTGTAAATTTTGAGCTTTTTTTTTTAGGTTTTGAGCAAACCGCGTTATATCGAATCAGCATTAAACGGGGTCTTACTGCATTTTGGTGTATTATTAAATTGTTTAACCCATTTTACTCTATTTTCATTCAGGAATTTTTAATTTTAATGTAATTAAACATAAAACTGAAAAAATAAAAGAAATGTGTTAAACTTTGAAGCTTTCTCTTCAAAATTATTTTCCATTATATCACGAGTAAACACAATTACTCATCGGTTAAGATTTCGCAGAAATCTTAACCGATGAGTAATTGTGTTTACAGCTGGATGACCTTGAGAACAGCTGGTGTTGTCTTTCCCGGGACATTCTCATAGAAGTCTTGGGAGGAGAAGGGTTTAAAGTAGGGTGAATACTAGCTGGCCATATATTTCTAAACATTTTTGAAAAATTACGTTTTTTATTGCAATTTCCGACCCCTGACTTAATTAAATGTATATATAATAAAATCTATTAATTAAAAAAAATTAAAAAACTATTGGAGGTTGTTTTTGACATCAGAAAGTAGCTATAAATAACTGTACCGAAGTAAAATCTGTGCACTAGAACTTCAGAACGATGAATGAAATTTGATAAAAATTCCCATAAAAAACAATTAAGCGTTAATCGTGTGTCATTAAAGGTAGATTAAAATCGCAATAAAATTTTTTCGTGCAGGAAAAAATTTTTAAAAAACATCCGAAAATTTTTGAGGGTCCAAAAAAACCATTTTTTATCTAACGTTATGTAATCTGCACCAGAAAAACTCGAGCGTGGGCAATAAAGTGTAATAAATATACGTTATAATTAATAACTTACATTATATTTCATTAATATAATTTTTGTTTTAATATTTTGATATTTTAAATGAAAAAAACAAATCAATTAAATATATAAGTTGAAAATTTATTTACAGTCTTGTAAACATCATGCTGGAGGTGCTGAATCATATGGTAAACCCTGGCAGGTTGGCGATGTTGTTGGTTGTCTTCTTGACCTTCATGATAGAACTATAAGTAAGAAAATTATAATTGATACGTATTTTTATTATTAAAGCAAATTTTTTTTATAACAGACATTAAAGTTTCCATTTAATGATAATGTTTTACATACATAAATTATTCAAATAATTGTATATTATAATAATTTTGCAATGCATGCAATGAATAAATATAAGAAATTGGAACAAAATATTATACTTTGCTTATGGATATAAAAAAAATCAGTAAAGAGACGGAATAAACTTAATATAAAAATTATAAAATAAAAACAGTATCAAAAAATATTAAAGGAGATAAAATAGGACTTCAGAAAGTGATTCCGTTAAGAAAACTTTTACAGAATTTTTGAAATACTGTTCAAGTTAAATTTATTTTATATTGTTATTAATTAATTCAATACAAAATAGTCAGAAATTTAATTTTTCAGTACAAATTATTTATTGTACTAGATTTAACAAATTATTTATTTACCTATTTCTAACAACTTATTTTAAATCTTTAAGAAATTTAGTCCTGTAGCAGAAATTAGTCATTTGGGGGCTACAGGGGCAAGCTGAAAAATTCTGATTGGTATTTTTTTTTCCAGCCAGCATTAGGCCTATTAGTTACAGTCCAAATGTAAAAAACATAACAGTAGTCAAAGTTTTTATAATGAAAGCAAAAGCATATATAATATTATATCTATACTAATGTTATAAAGAGGTAATGTTTGTAAATTTGTATGCAAGGGCTAATCTCTGAAATTACTCATCTGATTTCAAAAATTCTTTCACCAGTATTTACAATGGAACTTCAGGGTGGACATAGGCTGTATATTATTCCGTTAAACATTCATATACTGTAAATGAAAAGATATCATCTAGGGTTAAGGCTTTTATGTCCAACAGATGGCGCTACGAGTATGCTGCCCTAATTTTGCTTTTCTGTGAGGATGAACTAAAGCAGATCATCTTCTATCTATCTATATAAATAAAAATGTAATGTTCGTTTGTTCCTACTGATTCCTTTGAAATTTTGACACAATGCTGCGTTCAAATATGCATGTGTTTTTATGTAATATACGTGTCGAAATTTTTTTCACGGTGGGGAGATGGACAGGATTAAGGCTTACTGTAAAGAACTCTTCTTCTATTTATACTATTTTAGATGCGGTTTTTTGCGTTTCAATAGGATACATCAACAGAATATACACTAAAAAGGGATTTTTCGATATTCTCCTTACAGGGGAGAGGGACAGGATTAAGGCTTACCGTGAAGAACTTGGCTTCTATTATACTATTTTAGATGTGGTTTTTTGCGTTTTTTATTGCGTTTTAATAGGGTACGTCAAGAGAATGTACAATAAGAACGGATTTTTCAAAAAATTCTCCCCCCTCCACGGGGGAAGTGTTATAAATTTATAATAGATACATTTTGAGCCACAACAATGCATGGCGGGGTCTGCTAGTTATATATACTATTGATACATACGGACACTGCCAACTAAGCTGAAGAGGCTTAGCTACCTCATTACTACTTCATTACCTCTCCATAGTCCCTTTATAGCTACAGCTCTGAAAAAATTATTCTACTACATTTTCAAATGACAAAGTCAGCTCAGCTTTACTAAAATTTGTTTTCTAAAGATTTAATATGATTGTATTTCTATTATAAATTTTACTTTTACTTTTTATTAAATATATATATGTTAAAGTATTGAGTAGCAAAAATGTGTTTGTTCCAAAATATTATTTTTAAAATTATAAATCAATTGCCAAACTTTCAAACTATAATTTTAATTTATATTTAATTAAAATATAAATTATTAATATATGTTTAATTATGAAATTCATGAATAAATTTGAGCAGCATATTACATTAAATTTCTTCTTCAAAGAATTCAATGCTATATAAGAAAAACAAAAAAAAAAAAAAAATACTACACTTTAAGAAAGCAGTTAATCTGAAATATTGTTTTATTTCATATTAAAAGTTTTTTGAGACATTAAAAATTTTATGAGATCTAAACTCAACAAATATTAGATTCAAATTTTATTTGAAAGATTTAAATTTAATGTTTGATTATCTTTTCTATTTTTTCTAATTAGATATTGCTTACATTTGGTAACATTATTAATACAGTGAATTTAATTTTAACATTTAATATTGATATTGTTGCAGAATGAATAAAGTTGAATGATTATTATCAAGAACAAAACAATATTTATTAAAATTAAATAAATTGAATAAAAATAGTAAATTGGCATTTAGAACACATTAAGAATTTAAGAAAAGAAAACAAAAGGTGAACTGGTTGGCTGAGAGCTATAGTGACAGGAGCCCATTTCATTATATAATAGAAAACATTTGAATAGAAATCAATACATTAATAAAATGATATTATATTTTTATTTGATTAAAAGTAATAATTTTTAAATTTATTACTTCATAGGTTATTCATTAAATGGAGAATTACTATTAGATGCTATGGGAGGAGAAGCAGCTTTCAATGATATACCTGTTAATGAAGGTAATTTAGTATAAAGAATTAATTATGTATTTTGAAATTTTTAGTTATTAAAAGAAAACAATAATCTTAAATCTTTGAACAAAATTTTAAAACAGTATGTAATGTATTTAAAAGACATTAAAAATTATGTGTTGTAGTTATTTTAATGTTTTGTATGAAGTTATATGTAGTTTCTGAAAATGAAAACAAAACAAACTTTTGAAAATATTCCAAATATAAGATTTTGACTTTTTTAAATAACTAATAATACAATATAGTATATATCTTAAACTATATTGTATTATAACTATATTCTATATTATAATAACTATAAGTATTGGGTTGAATGGAAAATTGTGTTTTTTAGTAGAAATCTCTATAGAGATTGGTAGTGTGATTTAATTAAAGCTATTTTTATATTTAACATATCACTAATTTATGAAAGCAGAGTATCATTAAATGCTTATTTTTGAGTTTGTTTTTTAACCTTTTTTTTTACATAAAATTAGGAAAAACTGGTAATAGGTTATATGTGTGTATATCTTGTTATGTTTTGAGTTTTGGAAATATTCCATTACATACAAACAGTAAAAAGAGTATTTTTGACAATGTTATTCAAAAAAAGAAAGTTGCAAATAGGGAACGTCTGCAGTTCCAACTTCAAAAATAACTCTGCATTCCTATAGTTACTGCTTTACATATTGTGGGATATAGATGACATAATATATGAGTTTTTCAATTTTAATGAAGTTATTAATTCCAATGTCTACTATCAGAAATTAGATTGAGGAAACAAATGTCTTAAACAAAAACACCTGCCTTTGGTCAATTGGAAGAGAATAATCTTTCACCAGAATAACACATGTCTAACATGTATTTTTTGTTACATCATCAGATTGATGATGTAACAAAAAATATGAACTAAATAGGAAAATTTTAGATTATCACATTTTTACATGGAATCAGGATGATGCAATTTTGCAAAATATCAAAAACCTTGCACCATAAACTGTTGTTATAAAAGTTGAACTGCAAGTAGTGTTAAATCATCTACTTTACATTAGTTAAATGAACAGATACCTAAAATATAGGCTTCAATATCTGAAAACTGTGACATGTGATGTTTTCTTGCTGATTTTTTTAAATGTAGGCATTGGCATTAATAAGAAACCCCTTTATTTCCCAGAGGTAAAAATCATGTTGGGTAGTGTTTTAATACTTTTTTACAATGTAAAGCTTTTTTAACAGATAAGAAATTTGTTGTATGTAAAATTTATTTAGTTTCATTTTCATAGATGATGATGTTTGTTTTATATTATGATTAAAATAATTAACATAAGAAAATTTATTTTGTAATTGAAATTTATTGAATTCAAATTAATTTAATTATTGTTTTCTTTTATGCAGGATTTGTCCCAGCATATACATTTGGAACAGGACAAAAAGCAAAATTAATATTTGGTCATGATGTTAATAATTTGCGATTTTTTACAACTTGTGGTTTGCAAGAAGGCTATCAACCATTTTGTGTGTATGTTCAATAATATTTTTATAGGTTTATATATATATATATATATACACACACACATGAAGATTGACTAATAATTTCCAGGAATAATAATTAAAGTAGTTTTATTGACAAAATTCCAAAACAAATAAATGAAAAGAAATTTGATTTCTTCAACATTTTTCAGTTAGGCTAGGATGATTTAACTGATAGTCTGTGAATCATATCTGGCTCATTCTTGACAGATAGTTGGTTCATTTCATTGTTATTTGGTAATTGCAGCATTTCTTTTATATGTGGTTTTACACAGTTGACTTGTATATACTGTTAAAAATAAGAAAGATTAAAACATAAGAAAGATTGAAACATTCTTAAAGAGCCACATGCAGCTCCAAAGTTGTAGGTTACCAACTCTTGCATAGTTCCTCTACTTAAAAATTATGCACAAAATATTTAATAGTTTCATTACACATTTGAAAAGATATGAGTTAAAAAATAAATAAATTTTCATATTTTAAGTAAGTATTATGATTAACTAGAAAAATAAAAGATTATTTAATGCCAATTAATATACCAGAGATAAAGGTTGTATTAAGGTAAGGTTGTTACAAATTATCTGTGTAGTCCTTATACAGTAAAACTTTTCTAACTCAAATGTCTATAACTTGAATATTTCTTTAACTTAACTCCTTGCATACACAGACATTTTTGATATTAATGTAATTAAGCATAAAAAATACTTAAAACTGAAAAAAAATGAATGAAATGCGTTAATTTTGAAGAAAAAGCTTCAAATTTTATTTCTCTTTGTCTCGCCTTTCTGTGAAATCTGACACTGATGAGTCATTGTTTACACAGCTGGATGACCTTGAACACAGCTGGAGTTGGATTTCCCGGGACATTCTCATAGAAGTCTCAGGAGGCGATGGGTTTATAGTAGGGTGAATACTAGCTGGCCGTATATTTTTAAATATTTTTAAAAAATTAAAATTTTTATTGCGNTTAAAAAAATTAAAAAACTATCGGAGGTCGTTTTTGGCATCAGAAAGTAGCTTTAAATAACTTTACCGAAGGAAAATCTGTGCACTACAACTTTAGAACGATGAATGAAATATGATATCAAACTCCCATTAAAAAACTATTAAAAAGCAATTAAGCGTGAAGCGTGCATCATTAAAGGTAAATTAAAATTGTGATAAAATTTTTTCGCACGGGAAAAAAATTTTGAAAAAATTTGACTTAAAAAACATTCCAAAAATAAAAAAAAAAAAATTTCAAAAATGGCCTTAAGGACTGCGTTTTATGTAACGCTATGTAACTTGCTTGAGATATCTTGGGATATGTCCTTAATTAAAGAAAATGAGACACTTGGCAAGTCCCAATAGAACAGCATAAGGATTTAATGTCTCCAATTTGAATTTTCTTAATTAACTTGAGTTTTCTCCAAGTTGAAGGTTATCATTGTCTCCTGACACTGAGTTTTGCTACTTTCAAATTTCCTGACTCAAATTTTAATATTTATTCTATTTAAAGTGATCCTAATTATTTGAATTTACATGAAATTTTCAGACAGTTAGTTGTATCTACTGTCCAATACTCATTTGCAGACAATGCTCCAGTCCATAGCAAAAGGACCTCTCACTTTATTTCAACAAGATGTACCTGCAAAACTGTTTTATTTGATTAGTTACATTGAACATTTTGCTGGAAGGCATTACATGGACTGTTTAAAACAAAAAAACTATCAACGATTCTTTATATAATGAAAAAGAGGTAAAAATACAAATCTATTCAGGATTGGCATTTTTCATTCTATTGTTCTCTAACTAGAATTGTCTGTAACTGAAAGTTTTTTCCTGCTTTTTGGAGCTTTATTAATTTTTTTGGTGTATGTATTTTGTACATTGTGGATGTTTGGTACATCTATGTCTATTATAAATGTGATTTTGTTTAGTTTGTTAATTAATGTAATGTCTGGTCTGTTATGATGAATTGTTTTGTCTGTCATTATACCTTGGTCATGGTATGCTGTGAATTTGCTTCCTGCAATAACTTTTATCATGTAGGTTTATGAGGGAAAATGGCTAGCAATGTAAGTGCTGATCTTTTCATTGGATAAGCAGAGAGAAGCATATTGTTTTGTAGGGCCTGAACCAGCTCTTAGTATTTATTATAAAACTTTTTCTAGAGCTGTCAAAGAATGGATTATTTCCAGTCATTTAAAGCAGTGGAAAAAAATAACTGAACCAAGGCAGCGTAAGACATTTTTGCATGGCTTGTAAAACTCTATATAAACTCTATGTAAACTCTGAACTTTCTGGCTTTTGACAATCATCATGTGTACTTTTTGGTCAGCATTATGACTGATTTTGATCAATTTTGTAAATATATGGCAGACTGAAGCTGTTTTCTTCAAACTTTTAGGACATTGAGAAGACTCTCTACCTCATTTATGAGTGTGTATACTTTTGCCTAGGCAGATTTTTTCATCTGAGTTCTTACTTTTTTGAGCCCTTCTGATGTCTCTCAGCTTTACTTTAGAGGTCTGTTATTTTTTTAAAAAGAGATTGGACTTGTGAAGCAATTTCTTGTGGGTTGCTCAAGGGTATTGAAGTGCTTTTGGTTTTGTCCCATCTGCTTAGTCTACAATCTAATACTAATGAAAATAAAACACAAAAACAATTTTTTAATGTTTGAGATGATATTTTTTGAACTATATGCTGGTAAATGCCGTGCTTTTAATGGTCATGCTGGAAGTGCAGGATTTATATTGGTGTAGGTCATGTAAAGGTGTTAATTTTTCTCTAGCAATTTTCTTTACAGTATATGCTGCCACAGTTTATTCATACAAAATTACAGCATTTAGTAATACATTTTTTTTTATTGTTTGATTTGTCTAACTCTTAAATACTTTCAGAGATATAAGGCTTAGATTGATAGGATATCATTTTGTCTATACAATTATTTTTTTAATAACAATTTACTTTTTATTAAATTAGTATTTTATATAATAATAATATTTTTTTTTATATAGGAATATGAATAGACACATGACATTTTGGTATAACAAAGATGATCCACTTTTTGTTAATGTTGATGAATTACCAGATTCTTACATTGAAGTTACATTTTGTGTGTATGTTCAATAATATTTTTATAGGTTTATATATATATATATATATACACACACACACATGAAGATTGACTAATAATTTCCAGGAATAATAATTAAAGTAGTTTTATTGACAAAATTCCAAAACAAATAAATGAAAAGAAATTTGATTTCTTCAACATTTTTCAGTTAGGCTAGGATGATTTAACTGATAGTCTGTGAATCATATCTGGCTCATTCTTGACAGATAGTTGGTTCATTTCATTGTTATTTGGTAATTGCAGCATTTCTTTTATATGTGGTTTTACACAGTTGACTTGTATATACTGTTAAAAATAAGAAAGATTAAAACATAAGAAAGATTGAAACATTCTTAAAGAGCCACATGCAGCTCCAAAGTTGTAGGTTACCAACTCTTGCATAGTTCCTCTACTTAAAAATTATGCACAAAATATTTAATAGTTTCATTACACATTTGAAAAGATATGAGTTAAAAAATAAATAAATTTTCATATTTTAAGTAAGTATTATGATTAACTAGAAAAATAAAAGATTATTTAATGCCAATTAATATACCAGAGATAAAGGTTGTATTAAGGTAAGGTTGTTACAAATTATCTGTGTAGTCCTTATACAGTAAAACTTTTCTAACTCAAATGTCTATAACTTGAATATTTCTTTAACTTAACTCCTTGCATACACAGACATTTTTGATATTAATGTAATTAAGCATAAAAAATACTTAAAACTGAAAAAAAATGAATGAAATGCGTTAATTTTGAAGAAAAAGCTTCAAATTTTATTTCTCTTTGTCTCGCCTTTCTGTGAAATCTGACACTGATGAGTCATTGTTTACACAGCTGGATGACCTTGAACACAGCTGGAGTTGGATTTCCCGGGACATTCTCATAGAAGTCTCAGGAGGCGATGGGTTTATAGTAGGGTGAATACTAGCTGGCCGTATATTTTTAAANATTAAAATATTTGTGATTGATTAATAAATATTTATTTTCTATATGCAGCAGTGATAGTCCTCCTGCTTTGAAAATTTCTCACAGATTATATGAAACACTAGAAAAAGTTAATTGGGAATTCACTCGTTTAAGTCTTCCTATAACTTTTTATGATGAATTTATTGAGTAAGTTTTATTTTATATTTATTTATTTAAAATATTATTTATGTACTGTAAACAGTATAACCTCCAAATAGCAGACACCATTTGGACTGAGAAGTTTGCTGTGTAGAGGTGTCTGCTATTTGGAGGTACACACCAGCAGCTATATTATATTTTAATTTGGTTATTATAAAGTGAAGAATAAGATGGATTACAAAAACATCAAATTTGCATTAGGAATGTGGAATGTGAAAATACTAAAAGTATACATAGCATTTATAATTAAAATATAGGGTAAAACCAGATGAGTTACCTATAGTTTTTATCAACACATATAACACACTTAACTGTGGTTTCCAGAAGAAGTAAATATATAATTGTGATAATCTGGATGGATACCCAATCTGATTTACAAAATTCCCTTCTCAAATAAACCCATATTAACTAATTTAACTTATTTTAACTTAATTTTATTCAATTTTTTATCACTTTTTAAATATTTTAATATAACCTAAAAAGGTTACAAAACTTCAACATCCTGCAAACATGCTCTATAACGTAACCTTTATTGAGAAATGAGGATGTTTTGCTTCCTTCCTCCACCTATTATCTTAAATTTTCCCCAAACACCTGTTCAAATGACATAACTAAGCATCCTGTCAGATGATGCGATTCTAAGTAAACGGATTATGAAATATTTGGTAATAAAAGGGCAGGTTTCCCCACACTCAGGAAATGCACGATCAACATTAAGGACCTGCCATAGGACCGGCAGATTATGCCATATAGACTCGTCCAGCATACTCATCAGGCCACTGTGGGAACAGGCTACGGCCATACCAATAAACAGCGGTAATATGATTTATTGTAAAATCTCTCTCTAATACTGATGATAGTCTTAGGTTATACATATAAGTCTATGTTATTTTTTTATGTTATGATGTTTTATTAATTGTCCTTGTTATTTTTCTGTGATTAAATTGTTGATTTTATATTAAACTAGCTTACCCGTCGCGCATTGCTGCGATCTCAGAAGAGATGAAATTCAAGCAAACTCGTTATAATAAAATTAAATTTTCATTTTATCATTTTTATTGAAATATATTATTATTATTCGTTTTCATCGGGAAAACATTTCAAAGTGTCGTTTCAATTCTATTTATTTATTGGAGTGCTCGTGGATACACGATATTTTTTGTTTTTTCGTCTGGTGCGTACACGAATAATTCGGAAGGTTTTCCGACGCGTGAGCTGGCCACATACAGTTGTCCATGCGAGAAGCACGGATTCTCCAAATTTAGCCCACACACTTGCAGCGATTGTCAAAAGCGCGATATTCCCCATTTATATATATATTTTTAAATCCTTTATAATTTTAATTATTTAATTGCTCCTTCCTCTCTTCCTTGGCATGTTGGGAAATTTCTGATAGTTAGATAATAAACCGTTTTATTGTAATTTGTCTTTTTAAATTATTTCGAGTCGATATTAAAATTTGAAAAAGGGCGATACCTAGATCGGTAAAATAGGCGAATTTCTTCCTACAACTTCGGTCGTTGTTCGGGGTACAGTTAAGATTTTAACGAAGTTCGAGCGAAAACATAATTAGCAAAAAAAGTCGAAATAAAGTGATTAAACAAAAATGATTACAAATATCGTAAATAACAGTTCACAAATGCATATATAGAGACATATATATTTTTGAAGGGGGGAAATGGTCTTCACAATTTGAAATCGATCAAACACACTATGCGCGAATGCTCGTGTAAACGCGCGCCATCTATCGTAGGATAAATGTACTTCGCGGGAGTGTATTAAAAAACTTCCCGAAGTTTCATGGCAATCGTACTATGCCACAAACCTTCGCCGGAGTATATTAAACAACTTCCCAAAGTTTCATGGCAATCGGATAAACGGTGTGGTAATGCATTAAGGACATAGGACACACAGACAGACATACATTCATTTTTATATATATAGATGACCTTCTTGTCAAGTATTTATTGCTTATGCACAACCCCACACAGAATCTTATCACTCAGGTTCTGTTAGAATAAGCCATTCAGTGACAAAGTGAGCAGATCCTTCAGATCTGACGATTAGAGGGCCTTGATTCTCGTCCGTATTCTCACATAATGCATATACAGCCAAGAGTTATCTTTTAATAAAAGTGAACAAAGTTAATAAAAATTTGATGTAACACAGTGGTAGCAATTAAATGATACTTGTTCATTTTGGGCATATATCTCATACCTCCAGCAAAATTACCAAATGCTAAGGATGAGATGCTTACTTTACTTAACATTTAATCTAATAAACATTTTGCACTTTTCTTATTTCCCACACACAATAACCTCTGTAATATACAGAGTTCATGTTTTGTGCATTCATTTTTTGCACATCAAGCAATGATGCAACTGACTTTACTTGTCTCAATTTTTTGACTTATTTATATGATAAACAAGTTTTTTTCATTTTGAGTTCCTAACATTGAACATAATCCAAGAGCTCATTTTGCTAAATTACTAGTAATCTTTAAGTCTTCTGTAAAAAGTACAATATGAAATGTAAAACTCTTTGCTTGATTGATAGTAATTTAGATGACTAGTATGTATTGTTTCGGCTGGAAAAACTAAGTCCTTTTCAGCCCATTTTTCTTTTTGGCATTGGTTTCCTTTTTTTGCATTCAGTAGACATTGAAAATTAATAAATTTAATTAAATCTGTAATGAAATATTTCAGAAAAAATATGCATCTCTCCCTTAAATCCACTAGGCATCTCACTCAAACCATATGGGAGAGATGCCTATTTCTATATTTTAGACTAAAATTATTAGGAGGACATCTGGCTTTGATTACAACTAGGGAATTCGATCCCGGTCCTTATTTCTAATCCCGGGATTTCGGGATTATACTTATTCAATCCCGGGATCCCGGGATTATTTTGGTATTGAGGGTTAATAAAAAATAAGAAAATCTTACAGAAATCAAAAATCAAAATTTAGACAAAAATCAACGTATTTTACGGTATACACCTAGTTAATTTAATCACTCTAATTAATCAGACTTACAGTCAGACTAACCAGACTTAAAATCACTGTCTTCATGTTAAATTTATTCTTTTTTAAGCATCACTGAGATCTCTTTAAACTCACATAAATTGAAAAAACCTTTATGTAACAAACTATGCAAATAAACGTTGAAAATTCACAAAAATCTCTCTTAACATCGACTAAATAGACTACTTTCATATAACAACCTAGTAAGTAGGTAGTAAAGTAAGTTTCTTAGCAAAAAGTATTTAAAAATAATATTAATCAGTCACATTTTTCTTAAATATAAAGAAAACTAATTTAATAGGAACATTCTAATTTGAATTGCGAAAATATGATCTGAGAAATAACAACGCATCTAGTGTCTCATCACCAAGTCTGCTTCTCAATTTGTTGCACATATATGCAGCTGCAGAGAAAACGCGTTTAGGTTGATGGAAGTTGGAGGAATCGTTAGTAAATACTTATAAGCTTCGAGGACACGGGGAGGATGGAAGAAAACAGTCCGGTCGACACGGATCGGGATTGTAGGAGTAAAGGCTATAATCCCGATTGTTTCGATCATTGTAAGCATGTTTTTCAAAAAATAAACGCGTTAATTTTGTAAATTCGGTCTCTGTGTGAGTCTCTCAGCGTTCAGCAAACCACTACCCCGAAACGTAAAAAGACTTTCTCGCATCATCCTGACAGATCGCGGGCAAGGCGAGGGTCGTAACCTTTTCACCTAAGGTCGACCCCCCTAAGCGAGAGGCGTCGGGTCTATATTAACCACACTGGCAAAACAAGATGGCTGACACATTGACAGGTAAAACGCACTGAGTAGTGCTCTCGACTGCGCCAGAAAATCGATTGGCGCCCGCGAAAATTCAAAAATACAAAAATGAAGTATATTACCAAGTAACCCAGTGAGAACTGCTTGCCTATCATTTTAGTTGAAAATACAAGAAGTTTTATTCCAAGCAAGCATCGCAAGCCCGCTAGGTTAATTTCTGCTGCTTGCTTGGAATAAAATTTCTTGTATTTTATATTAAAATGATAGGCAAGCAATTCTGTTAAAAGCACTGGCACTGAACGTTTCGCTTCATGCAGTCTATTTTGCAACTTTTTTTAAAATGATGTCAATCCCGAAAATCTCGGGATTAGGAAAACTTAATCCCGAAAATTTTGGGACTGAAAAGTGGTCGGGATCCCGATTTTCGAGATCCCGGGATCAAATCCTCTAATTATAACACACCCAATTCTACTTTCACATGAAACAGAAATATCACATAAGCATATTTGAATTTTGGAACCTTTTATATAATTGTGAATGTCTCAAAAAAAGTTTGTACAGTGATGATAAACATTATTTTTAATAAAAATATCAACAAAACACAATGAAACACGAAAGAGCATATGTAAGTTTGCCAACTTCCAGGGGGAATCATTAATCCCACGTCAGGATGATCTAGGGTCGTTCGCGTGTGGGTGTGGCGGAGGAGACACAGATGACAAGAATCTCACAAAAACCCGTTTATTTTAAACATAAAAGTAAACTTACACTAACGAACAAAAATGTTCTTTACACAATTGGAGGTTCGAAGTGTCGAAGGTGTTTGTACTGTGGCTCGAAGGAAGGTCCCGGGGCAATGGCAGGTGTGGAGATTTGTCAGTTGGTGTCGGCGGTGTTCTGAATTCGTAGTCACAGGTTACCAGTTGGGCACAACCGACAGAAAACTGCTTTTCCTTGTGGACTAACCGTGTGCAGGTGCACAGTTTTTCGGAAAGTCCGTCTGTCCTTCAAGATTGGGGATTATATCAATCTCCATTCTTTGTTTTGTTTTCTTCTGATTGGCTCCACGTCCCTTTTTTCTCGCTCCCTGATTGGTCTCTCGTCTGTCTCGAAGCGAAAGACGATTCCTGTTCGGATCACCAGAAAGATCCGCTTCGAAGAATCTACTTGACACCATCCGTTACTCTGAATGCAAAATGTCGATGGAACTTTGAAACTTGTGCTCATATTTTCCACCATTGTTGTCTAGTCTGTGATGTTTTGGAAATTTAACGACACGACACAATGTCCCTTTTCGTCATTAACCTTTCCTCTTTTCAAAATTTCTATGTTCTAATTATTTGTATATGAGTGACTTGTTAAAGGTCCATCTCTACTGGAGGTCGTTTGTTTACAATTATTAATCATTTATAATTATTGCATTCTGTTTACCTTAATAAAGTTTTTTTTCTCTCTCGTCGCAGTTTCATATGACTAGAACAACTAATTCGATCTTTGATTGGTTTTTAACAATAGACGATTTTTTTTCTAGTTTCATTTTAATAAATTTCTAATAATAAATCTTTAATATCAACCCGTTTTTGGAACCTCACACATAGTCATTATGAAAGTGACTACTGACTTGTTGTACTGAGTATTATTTGAATTAACTGTCTCTAGGCATCTCATCTGGTTTTACCATATATACAGTAGTTTATATTATTTATGTTTTAAGCTGTAAAAATCATATTTTAATTGAATTCTAAATAGCAAACAGATTGTATAGGATACTTTAAATTGAACATAAAAATTATGACAAAATATAAACGTTGATTAATTATTAATTCATCAAAAATGACCTGAGTGGAAAACAAAGATAAGCTTAGGCAATGAGAGTTCAAATGTCAGTATTCTTGCATTTATAACATCATTTATGATCTAAGTGACTAATAAAAATCAATATAGAGATTTGTCTGCTTTGTAGTTATTGAGTAGGTATAATTTTTCAAATATTTTTAGTTTTTCAATAAATAATTTATTAAAAATTTCTTTAGCCACCCCAAATCTGTTAAGATCATAAATTACATCATAAATGATAGAAAACCAAATATCTTCCTACACTTTAAAGTGGTTGGCAAATTGTCTTTGTAGCAATCTTTGAACTTTCATCAAAGAAACATTGCTGTCTTAACTTTAAAACCGTTTCTTTTTCATTACAACTGTACTATGGTTTTTGTTGAATGAGTGAATAAAGTTTGGAAAAATTTATGATTTCTTGGTACCATAAGTTTAATTCCAACAATAAGACAGATGTTTAATAACATTAATATGACAAATGGTAATTGACAACTTAACCAGATTAGTGTTTTCTAATATATAAAGAGTATTGTTCAGCATTTTACAACCTGCACTCCTCTCTTATTCCCATTTTAAGCCAGTCTTTATTTGACACCCTATTGTCAAAATTCATCCTCTGAGAGAGTGTTTGAATTGACTCTTTGTTTTAGTTTTAAAATATTTCGTATGTAATTAATTTTTTCAGAATATTGAAGGCGGAACTTTGTGTTTTTAGTAAGGTATGTTATGGACATAGTATCTATTATTTAGAGGTAAATATTATAAATATCCTATTTGAAGGGTCTGGGGATTGTAAAAATGTCCCATAAGTAAAAGTGTCTACTATTCAGAAATGTCTGTTAATGGAGGTTTTACTGTATATAAAAAGTTAATCTGTATTATGCAAGAAAAGCATATTTTAAGTGCATTTATGATATGTAACTATAAAAAGTAAAAAATATTTATTCATATTTTAATTGCTATTATCAGTATTTTTAAGTAGTAGTAATATTTTTAGGTCATATCAGATATTAAGTTATTTGCAGAAAAAAGTGAAATTGAAGTTAAATCATGAAGAATTTTAGTTAAGCCAGTCATTAGAATTTTAGCTGTTTTTAAACCAAATATAACCAAATCAGAATATTTTGCTAGACACTGATATTTCATATCAGTGCTAGCAAAATATTCTGGAATTTAATAGAATTTTGAAAGGAATTCAAATAGATATCTTGTAAAAATACACTTTTTTATCTACCATACATAGAAATTTAAAAGAAATATATTTTAAGAATAAAACAAACAACAACTGTAATAGAGCAGATTAATATCAACAATTTATATTTATGAAATTAATAAACAATAAAGCAATATATAGCAATATTTTAATTTTTTTGAAATAAAACAAATGCTATATATTTTATTATATAAATAAATATAGAAAATGTTTAAATTATTTTTCTTAATTTAATATTTTTAGTGAAGTTGAAAAAGCACATAGATGGGAAGAAATTAGAAGACGACAACGAAGAGAATATGTAGATAGGGCAGGAGTACGCCATCCTGGTAAATTTATAATGCTAATTTTAATAAAGTTTTGTTAAGTTTGTGTATTGAAAAATTTATATTCATGTATATGTTACATTTTGCTCAGAATAATTAAGGATAACATTAAAAAATATCTATATTTTTCCTGTCTGGCACTAGAAGAAAATATTGATACCTATTTGATACTCATTTTGTAATGTACTGAGAAATATGATGAGATATATGATTTATGTATGTTATCTGATAAGAGTAAATACTATAATAAGAGATTGATTTTTAAACTATAAAGTAGTTTTAACACTACCTCAAGAAGCTTGTTCTATGCAGAACTAGTGTCTATACCTTCATAGAACATTCTAGAAATTTCTCGTATATTCTAAAACTTTCATTCTTACAGTAACCTTTCATGACTTCTGTTTATTCTCTTTGCTAACAAAACATCTAAAACTTTTGTGAAATTTTTCATTTTGTTTGTTTTAATATGCATAACAGTGTTGTGCATGCACCTTACTGCATAGAGAACAAGAACGGTGTTAGCTGTTTAGAACATAACACAAAACTTAGAGTATTAATTTAAATTTGTGAAACATCATCGCACATGTGTCTTACAGCGCAGGAAATAGGAATGGCAATTAGCTGTTTTTAACAAAAGGTTTAAAAATAATAAAATATTGTCGTGCATGCACCTTATTGTGCAGAGAAAGTAGGGGTATAGAAACGGAGCTAATGCAGGTGTTTTTGTTGTTTGTATAGACCAGTGTTTCTCAACCTGTAACGAATCGTCGCCTCCTTCAACGTAGTATCGCCCCCTTCAACGTAGTATCGCCCCCTTCACTTCAAAATTCCGATGCCGAGGACCAAGACGAACGCCAAATTCATACTGCATTGAATAGACTAGTGACTAGTATAATGTTATTTGTTTAATTATTGTATGATATAACGAATAAAATATCTAATTAATCTTAATATAATGTTTTACTATATCGCCCAGAAAATTGTTTTTCACCCCAAAATATAAATTGTTACAAATCGCCCCCTCAACATGGAAAAATGCCCACATGGGTGTGATATCGCCCCCATTGAGAAACACTTTTATAGACTGATCCAAATCCCGGGCAACTCAAGGGTGGGAGAGTTGCAAAGAGACAGCAGAGTGGTGAAGAGGGCCTCCCAAATGTACACCAAATTCCATTCCTCACAGCATCTGAGCATCACTACACAGTCCCAAAGTGGGATGTGGTGGTGCTGCACAACCATCTTAGATAGTTCGGTGTCACAGCTGCCCCTGCAACAGAACGTTGGTGCTCTGTTATGTGATTGGATAGCATTCTGGTGGTCACCTTTATATAGTGGGTGTGTGCCCCAGACATTAGGTTTTCCAACGGAATAGAATATATGCCCGACTATTCTATTCCGCTGGAAAACCCAATGTCTGGGGCACACACCCACTATATAAAGGTGACCACCAGGATGCTATCCAATCACATAACAGAGCACCAACGTTCTGTTGCAGGGGCAGCTGTGACACCGAACTATCTAAGATGGTTGTGCAGCACCACCACATCCCACTTTGGGACTGTGTAGTGATGCTCAGGTGCTGTGAGGAATGGAATTTGGTGTACATTTGGGAGGCCCTCTTCACCACTCTGCTGTCTCTTCGCAACTCTCCCACCCTTAAGTTGCCCAGGATTTGGATCAGTCTATACAAACAACTAAAACACCTGCATTAGCTCCATTTCTATACCCCTACTTTCTCTGCACAATAAGATGCATGCACGACAATATTTTATTATTTTTAAACCTTTTGTTAAAAACGGCTAATTGCCATTCCTATTTCCTGTGCTGTAAGATGCATGCGTGATGATGTTACACAAATTTAAATTAATACTCTAAGTTTTGTGTTATGTTCTAAACGGCTAACACTGGTTTTGTTTGTTCTTATTTTTTCTTGAACCTTCTCAAACTCTGTTGCTATTATTTATCTTTCTAGTAATATTGTTAATAGGTTTTTAATTAATTTAATATGCTGTGTGTGAGCTTGGACTTGACAAAAATTTTGTGGGTGAAAATTTAATTTTTGAAATTAAAACTTCTATAATTTTTCCCACAATTTTAAAAATTGTAAAGGATATGATTTATCTGTCTGTGGAGTCACTTCTCTTTCAAGATGAGACATCAAATATGTCACCAGGAACTTGGTGACGAGAATTTGCTATTGGACATAAACATTGCAACATTGCCAAAAAAGGGCAATGTTGCAATAAAACCCCCAATAAAAGGCAATGACTGATGATGATGGATTAGTTTGTCCGTCCGACAAGGAGTTAGTTCATCCAACAGTTTGTTCGTCTGACAGAGAGTTTGTCCAATTGAGAAGTCCATGATCATTGAAAGTTTGCCCTCACCAAAGTTGCCCAAGTGCTTGGATACTTTACCTATCTAAGTGACTTTCCTTCTGCCAACAATTCATCCATATAAGTGAACTCCAACTATTTGAACTCCATCCAAATGAACTTCATCAATCCATTGTATCGACAATGCATCCTTAGATCCCTTATCATGTATCTATGTAAATCTATGTAAACTCTCTCTCTCCAAGTTAGAACTTGCAAATTAGTTAATATCGTCAACGTAACCCTTATTACAAAATATTAACCTTACTTGTATAACTTATCAATAGCTTAATAAATGGATAATTGTTATTGTTAGAATTTGTGTTTGGTGCACAGAGACAGCACATCTCTCGTATCGCCTTCATCAGATCCAAGTTCCTACAACATCACTGCTTGCGTGAAAAATGAAATTAGTAGTCATCAAGGTTTCAGTGTCTATCCTAAAAGACACAGTGGTGTCAGTCCTGACAAACTAGTCATTGCAAACGCAATGTCAACCTTCGGTTTCGCGCATTGTCACACTGTGTTTTTTTCTAATATTTTTAAAATTAATTTTTGAATTTTTTCTCAAATGTGGGGTTTTTAAATATAGGAACTTAATGGACAATCAGTTATAAAGCAAAGAAACTTCCACTACTGACAAATTTTAGGAAAAATCTTATATTGTAAAATTTTGATTCCTTGACTGTTTCATTGGCTTTTTCTCCCCCCCTCTTCTTTTTTACTTAAAATNTCAACGTTTCCCGGACACTGAATGACTGAATTCCTCTGATAATTTTAACTGGATTCACAAAGTTATACGATCGATACTAGAAATAATAACTTGTCTAGTCACAGGTACAGTCTTTTTTTTTCTTCTTCTTCATTTCCTCTTTTTTCTACTCCTAGGCGAGTAAAAAATATATTAAAATAAAGAGAAATAGACTATATTTTTATTCATATTTACTATTATATATGAATAATATGAATAATGAAATATAGTTAGATAGAGAATCGATATGTGCTTTATTTTTAAAGGCATTCAGTGCTTAGATTCGTTTCTTCTTATAAATTGATCAATCATTAATCAACGAAGACTAATTTTCTATATTAAAGAGACTTTTCTACTATTGATTGATCAGTGTCAATAAAATTTATCGGTATCAACGGATTGATCAGCATCAATAATATTATTTTTCAGTATGTTTTATTTTTAAATAATAATAACTTTTGGAGTTATATATTGGACTCATACAGATCTTGAGCAACTCCAAAGGAAAACAAGAACAACACTTACTAAGCATAAACAACATCACCCTAAATCCGGAAACCCTACAGAAAGATTAACCCTTCCACGTAAAGATGGCGGACGTGGCATGATTGACATAGTTAACCTTCACTACAAACAAATGCAGTCACTGTGAGAATTTTTCTACAGGAAACAAGAAACATCACAATTACATAAAGCAGTAACTCTAGCAGACTCAAATAGCACACCATTAAACTTACACTCACAACATACAGACATGACACAACACATAAAAAGCACAGACACCATTAAGCAATTGTGGGCTCCAAAGGCACTCCACGGCAGGCATCCTTTGACCTGGCCCAGGATTTTGTTGACAAAACTGCGTCAAACAGCTGGTTAGATCGGGGATGCCTCTTTGGGG